CTGGGCTTGTAGTCCGAACGGATCCTCTTGATCCATCGCCATTTTTGACGCGGATCAAGGGTGGCCTCACTTTCGGCCAGGCGTTCCTTCAGCCAGTGTGTTTTGTCTCTGCGGGCTTGCTTCCGAATGTCCTTGTGAAGCTGTGACTCCAAGTCTGTGTGCTGTGAGAGTCTCGCCGCAGTGCGTTGCTGTATCAGCTGCCAAGTTGCTTGTGTGGTCCAGGGATGTTTGGGAAAGGATGCCGTGGTGGGGATGTGCTCAGTGATGGCTTCCATCGCAGCTTTGCTGAGGGTGGACCAAAGTTTGTGTCGCTGTGCTGGTAAAGGGAGCTGTGTGGGTGGCTGTGAGTAGGTGTCGTTGTCTGTGAGGGTAGGGAGCTGCTGCTGGATGTGCTGGTTGTATTGTTGCTTTTGCTCTGTGGTTGGAGTTCTGGTGTGCCTTGGCTTTGGTGGTGTGCGCTTGGTCTCCTTGGTACGGAGCTGCAGCTCGTTCGGCATTGTAGCATTCTCAAATGCATCATGACATTAAGATGTAACATTGGGCTCGTGTCATTTAACAGACAGAGAGAGAGAGAGAGAGAGAGAGAGAGAGAGAGAGAGAGAGAGAGAGAGACAGAGAGAGAGGAGGGAGAGAGAGAGAGAGGGCAACCTCCGGCAAGGGGATGGGCACCCATGTTGTCTCCGCCCCCCAAAAAGATTAAGATGTAAGCGGGGCACGCAGCTCCGAAGACGTCATGGCCACGTGTAGCGCAGGCAAACAAGCAAAGCAAGCAGCAGAATCGAGCTTTTACTGTTTGTCAAAATCTGCGCCAAAGGCAAAATCTCGTGAGGCTGAGTGGTGCGGTTGAGTTGAAATTACAGAAGTGTGGCAGATAGAAGTGGCCCGTGCAACGGCCTCCCTTAGGTTGTGTTCCCGACAGTGGGCTAATCCTCCAGTTTCAAGCACCATGACCATGGGGGGGTGGATATCCAGCAGGTCGGCGGCTTGCTAACGATTGCTGACATACCTTCCTGTTGGGATGCGTGTGGGCTCAAGGACGTTCCCAATCTGTGCCATGAGCACATGGGCCTCCTCGCAGTTTGAACTGGCTGCACAATGCGTTCGAAATATGTCGTAATCGATGAGTTCAAGGTGTATCTCGAACCAGGGAGCCCCATCGCTGCAACCTGGGATGAACCAGCGTCGTCACCATACTGATGGAAAAGAAGACGATCTGTTGACCCTGAGTGTGTATTTTCTGAAATAATCTGGCAGTCGTCGAGCAGGGAGCACCAAGGCTACGACCCGTGGGTGGGAAAGGGGAGCACCATTGCTACGACCCAAGGGAGGGCGTGAGATTGTAAGGTGGGGAGCCCCAACGCTACGACCGCTACGACCCGAGTCTCTGTTAAACTGGGAGCACCAATGCTGCAACCCGTGACTGTGATGGAGCAGGTAGTAGCGCACCAAGACCTTGTGCGAGTAATACACCGAGCTGCTGGAGTTCCATGTCGTCCCTGCCGCTTAACTCGCATCAACTTTTGGCTCCTGCAGTTTACGGCTGAATCTGTATAAGGTCCGAAGACAGAATACTGTACGGCACCGTCGATCTTGCCGCCGGGTGGGGGAAAGGGGGGTGCTCGCTCGTCGAGTCCCACACTCTTAGTGCCGCCCCGGGGGTCCGCACAATTTCCAGCACCAGCCCACCCAGCAGAGACTTGCACTCGGCCACGGCGGGTGAATGCAGTGGATCTTCGCCATTGTCACTGTACTCGGTCCTGATGATTCAAAGATAAGAGTGAGAAATGGTGCCTTATTGAACAACTTGGACAGGTCACGACACGTGCTTCCACACATCGCCCGAAGTTTGTGTTTGGTGATATCAATGCTCGCGTTCGACAATAATGCCCAGGTGAACAACATGCTGTTGGTCCTCTTGGCTTCGGCGTTGAAGCACGACACCATGTAGAAATGCCAAATCGCGACTTTCTGTTGCAATTTTGCAATAGCCAAGAGCTCACAGTTGCAAACACTGCAATGAACCGGGAGTTCCACCTCTTGCACCTGTTTGTCCTGGACTTTTCTCCATGCTGGATGTGCTACGGTCCAACAACAGGTTCTGAACACTGTACAACGTGCTTGCATGCTCGAAAAGCCTGACTATGGTCAATATGGGAACCACTCGGAGGAACCGTCGTGTTCGACAAGTCCATGCCAAATCTCGCAGGACTGCAAAGGCCGCTTGGCAAGCTTGGCATCCACTCACTTTCTTGTCACGGCTGAGTGAGTCCGATGCCGGCAACCCCAAGAAGAAAGCACGAGGGATTCGTTTGTTTGGCATTCGCCGACTGCACGCCGGGCTTTGTCTGAAATATCACTGCACATTTACTTGGTGAGGATTTTTAGATGCAAGTACGACTTGGGAAAGCTGCAATCGAGCCTGGAACCTTGGAGTTGCAAAGGCAGCGTCGTTCAGCGCGAATCCGCGGGCAATGGGATCTGGAGAAACGTTTAAAGGTTGAAGTCGAAAATTCGGCCAGAGCCGATCGATCGAAATGGTTTGACTTGGCGGCTTCTGGAGACTGGAGATCTGGCGAAAAGCTCCGCCGTGGGCCCAGCATGAAACAGGCAAGGTTGCATTTCGCAGATGGTGTTCTCGTTTCTTCCGAATTGCAGGCCGAAGCACTGGCAACTCATTTGCAACGTGTTGGTTGGAGGGTGCCCAGTACTTTGATTCCTAACGAAGCCCCTCTCGGACCTCCACGTGCACCGAGCGCGCTCGACTTCGGTCCACAGCTTCAGTGGCCATGAAGCTATGCTCCGAAAAAAGGTGACCCTGCTGACCCCGACGAATATTGGCCGATGCGCCTCCTGAGTGCACAGAAGCTTCTTGCATGGCTTCCGAAACAGCTCTTCGCAGACCACGTTGAAAAAGGCTCTGGAGATCTCAGTTTGGGCTTTCCAAAAGGGCACTACACCGAGGATGCCATTTTCGCTGCACTGCGAAGACTTGACAAGGAGTGTGCACGACGCAATGGTCAGATCGATTCATTGGCACTCGATGGGAAGAAGGCATTTGACAGCATCAACACGGGCCTTCCTGATGCAATTCGCCGCTGTGGCATCCAGATGCTGCCGTACGTTCTATGCTTAAGATCAAGGCGCGGTTCTCCTCTGGCATTTCACAAGGTACTACGCCGAGCCCCACTACTCTTCAACATGATGATACCCGTTCTCATGCTCGATGTTGCTGCTAAATTGTGCGTACCATCAGGGTGATTTGGCTGACATTGTAATAGTCAAGGCAGACGACACTTTGCTTCTTGCATCCTGTGACCGTAACTTGCAGGAACTGCTTTCACGAGTGGCGGACACTGGCAAATCGCATGAGATGGAACTCCATTTAAGATACATAGCAACTCCCTCAGGTGAACTACCATGCTTCTATTCGGACTCCAACGGGTGAACGAATTGAGGCCAAGTCGGTATAGCGCCGAAGACTGAATGGCTTTCAAAACCGCTGCCGACAAACGTTATCCCACCTGCATTCTCGAGCATCCAATGCTGAAGTCCCTTGCCATTGCCATCTCTGTTTTTCGTGCAGCCACAGAGATGCTGTTGCCGCGCGGGCTTCCTCTTGTTGGACAAGTCCTCCGATGCCCATGCGACCATGTCATGCACCAAACTGCCCTTGTCCCTGGAACAACGCAACCCGGTCCCACAAACGACAGATTTATCGAGACATGATGTGGATCAATGAAGTTTGGAATATACCTTTTGAAGTTTGGAAGTACGTCAAGTAGCCGGACCCGTTCAGGGCCACGGCGCGTGCAGTCGTTCCCCGGGCTCTCCCTGACAGTCGTGTACGTTAGTTCAGTCCGGTCCGGCCTTGCTGTTCGCTGAGGCCATATGCCATAGTAAGCGGGCTTCAGAAAAGGCAAAAACTGCAATTCCAGCAAAAGATCCTGGCAAAAACGCAGAACAACTCGAGTCGTTCGGCCCGAAAGAATCCAAAAACATTTCCGCTGTGGCAGTGTTGGACCTGCCGCAAGAATTTAAGGTGAGTGTTAGACCCGCTAGCCGTGCATGCGGCCTTGTGAGTCGCAGGATGATATATAATCTATATACATATGTACAATCTAGAATATGATAAAATCTGAGACACTATGATATGAGGTCCAGTCGCGTCAATGTCCGGTTTCGGGCTTGTGGCCTTGGTGTGCTTTAATATGAGCTTGTTTTCGGGTAACAGCATGTTGTACACGAAGGCAAAACTGTGAACAACAGTGCTTTGCTTAGTACAGTGCTGTACGCCTTCTTCCTGAATGCAATCATGTTTCATCTCGCTGTCGATGTGTGTTTCTTCATTTCATTTCTTTCTTTCCGTCCTTCTTTTTACGTCGTTCGTTCTTCATTTCGTTGCTTGTGTCGTTCTTTCTCCGTGTCGAGGGCCCGGCGACCAAACCCAGGACACGGGGTATTACGAAAGTGTACAGCTCCGAGCAAAACTCAGAAGCAGCATGCGTGAAAAAGAACTGGAAAAAAGGGTCTGTGCATGCGTTCAGCCTCCTGTCAGAAAGCAGCAAATCGACAACCATCGCAGCGATAAAGCCCACTCGGGCAAACTTTTCGAACGCTAGCGCGGTCAGCCGCGATGAACTTTGGTCCAATGGGAAGAACCCGCTGGAAGAGATCAGGACTCTGATGCTCGCATCTATCGCACAAGCTTTAGAAGCTGCAGAAAGTCCGCCAGCACCTGAAACAGGCATAAGCTCCGTGAAGAGGGCAAGACATGAAAAGGCCGGGCCGGAGAGTGTGACAGGGGGGACCAGCCTGGTTCCCCTTCAGTGTGTCGGACAGCCTCGGTGAAGGCCGCAGGCCGTGAAGGTCGGCCATCCTTTTGCCCAAGCGTCCGGCGCCGAAGCGAACTGCAACACTTCCGGCACGAGCTTTTGGAGCTCTAGCTGCTCCTCGGTCTCCGACTCTCCCACGCCTCTCTGACAGACGTTCCCCTCACCTTGCTAAGCTCCCCAGTCTGCGGCAACTTGATCCACGCCTCCGGTCGCTCCATGCAACCGCTGAGATGATGAGCAGGCATATTCATGAGACAATACATCCACCGGTGGGAACCACGTGTCAGGAACCGTGGTACGGGCTGTGCCAAACGCACAGCGGCACAGCGCGCTGTCCAAGCTTCCGGCGTCTCCGGCTGCCAGGAGGCAAGCTGCCAGCTTCACGGCCACGGCAGGATCCTGAAGCACCTGGCGACTGCCCCCAACCCTCTTGGATGCTGGACTTGGCGCAAACACGGCCTCGGTGGCTGCAGCGCCCTGGCGACATGTCTGCACAGTTCTTTCCGGGATCGAGCCCAACGCATCAAGAAGATCGGCGCCGGGGTGAGGAGCCCCGAAAGCCACAAAATGGGGCGCAGGGGTGAACGGCTGCTTCTCTTGAGGCCGTTGGCTCCGAAACGATGGGATCCCGGGGTATGAAAAGAAACTGCTCAGCTCCCTTCTCGAGCCATTGCAGGGGAGTTCACGTGGTTGCGGAGGTTTGATATCATGGTGGTGATAACGACTGTGCAGTGGCTGCGTGTCGCTGCGGGTCGTGAGTGCCTCCTCCCTGCATCTCTTCCCGCCAGCTTGGAACAGGAATGCACCCATGGCCACTCGCGAGAAGCTCAGGGAGCCCCTGAGGCGACAATCACAGCAGCACGGCAGCACTGGCACGTCTGACACCTCCAATAAGGACGGAGCTTGGCTTCGCTTGGCGAGGTTGGTATGTGAAGATCCAGCAGGATGTTGCGATTCTGCTCCTCGGTCCAAGCTTGCTCCGAATGGAAGCAGCCCGAGACCTTCTGGAAGGGCACATTCCCTGCGATGGCCCACCGCAAAGAGTCAGCACAAAGGCCCGCCACCTTCCGGAGGAAAGGGCCTCTACAAAGTGCGGTAGCGCTGACTGGCGCCTCTGCATCCGCGTCAAAGTGCCACAGCACACCAACCTCAAAGGCAAGGCAGGTCCCTGTGAGAACAGGAATTCAAGGGACTCGTGTCTGGGTGTCACACTACCGCTCTGATACCAATCTGTCCGAGGCCTTCACAGGAGCAGCCAGGCGGAGCAGGCGGAAGGACAGTGCAAAAAAGAGCCGAGGGAGGCACCGCAGCGGGCGTAGTGCGAGATGCAGAGCTGCAGCAGAAAGCAAGGCAAGCGCAATCTCCTACGAACAACGGGACTGCCGACAGCCCTGGCCTTGGGAGACAAGGACTCCAAAAGCTCCAGCACCTCCCACTCCCACGAGCTTCGCCGCTTCGGAAACCGGGCGGCCGGCCAGGGCCCGCCGCCGAGGGGCCGACGACATCGCGAGCCACCTCCGCCGCTCCGAATGCGAAGCACAGAAAGCACAGAAGGCAAAGGCCGCAAAGAGATGCCGGAGCTGAGGAGCTGAGGAGCTGAGATGAGCTGAGCCTCGCTGCGCAGCCGCTCGGCCTTCTCCTCGAAGACCTGCAAACAAACATTTAAGGCCTAGTCGTTTCCGAGTCGTTTCCAATCTCTGCAGTTTTCAAAACCCCGCCACGTGCAATGTTGCCCACAGCCTGTGGAGAGAGCACGTGTCGCTTCACATGTCTGCAGCAGAATTACCGTTCAATTGGAAGTTGTTTCATGTGATGACATACGTTCATGTGACAGGGCTACGGTTGGACACACACACACACACACACAGACAAATGTGTGTCATAAACCCTGCGAAGGTGACGACTGGTCGAGAACTCAAACGACACGCGCAGAGAAAGAGCAACCCATGCATTTGGGTCACTTGGCACCCCTTCGACTTCCCGATACAAGGGTCATGCACAGAACATGCTGAAAGCCAGGGCTTGCAAATCTTGTCGTTGGCACGGCCTGGGCCTGACGGCTACCATGCCTACGTTTATAATCATTGGCGCTCTGAATCCTGGTTCGTACCTTCAATCCAGCCCGCATTTGCGATCGCAAACATCTTTGCCGTAGTGGATGCCATTGTCGTTCAGACAGGAACCGCCAGCTCGGCAAAAATGTCAAAAGGGACACAAGCTACTTCTGCTTCAGCAGAGATTCGCGACCGCAAGGCGCTGGAGGCACAGGGCCAATCTACCGCATTCGCCCTACTCAACGCACACGAATGCGCACGACCTCACGTCGGAGTTTGAGCTCCAGCAAAATTGGGCGAGTGTGCAAAGCTGATGCCCCACACCTCAGCAGCAAGCTCCATGCCGGCCGAGAGTGCCTCAACCCACCTGCACTTGGGGGACTGACAGGTTGGCAGACCGAACTTCCTAGTGGGCGCTCGGAGCTGGGCATGGGCGTGTTCTCGCCGCACGACTTGGCTTGCCTGTGTCGCGGGGCTAGCGCCTAGGGGTTCTTTCGACCAAAGCGTCTCTGGAAAAGGGGCCTCTCGATGTCCGTCTTCTGGAGATTGTTCCGCTTTTGCCATGCCTGGTCCATGGTGAGATCGCAGCTGACGCCTTCACCAAAAGCTTCCTGCCTGGGCCCTGCCTCACTGACGTATTCCTGATACCAGGCGTCGATGCCACTGTGCTCCTGCAGGGCGGAAGCAAGAAGCGGAAGCGATTCAAGGACCCACACCACACCTTCTTGGCCAGGAGCTGCTGGTAGATCAGCTCAGACACCTGGCCCAGCGGTCTATGCCCCCATGCTCCCCGTGTGTTTCGTTCCAGGCGCAGTCTTTGCACTTTCACTTTCTTCACTTCAAGTCTCATCCGTACCGCGCGGAGGCTCCTCCGAACCAGTTCTCGGCCCTCGGCGTCACATGGGGGTTTCCGAAAATAGGGGACCCTAATATAGTACCCTATATAGTAGGATCCGTATTATAAGGGACACCAAAATAAGGTACCCCTAATATTCGGAAACTCCCACATGACATGCGAGTCATCCTGTCCCAAGAAACATGACACACAGTGCAAGCTCCACGCTCTGTGCTCCTTCTGCAGGCAAGGCACGTGTCACTGTTGCGGATTGTTAGACTTTGGGTAGTGGTGTATTCCTCAAAGGCTTCGGGCCCATTCTCCCTGCCTCGGATTGCAACATTGACATCTGTACAAGACAAGTTTAGGGAAGCTGGGGTAAGCCTGCAAAAAGCGTGAATGCAGTGAATGCCCTCAAGTCTCCGATGCCGCTCTGGCCGAAGCCACCCCAGGGACTCGAGGGGTCGTTGCGGTGGTGGCAATTCACCCAGCTGAGCCCACATCGTAGCTTGCGAGCCACACGGAGGGATTTCCGCACATCTTCCGTCCAGATGGCACCTCCCAGGCCGTACTGCGAGGCATTGGCCAGCGCCAGTGCATCCTCTTCGGCCTCGAAGTTCGACAAAGAGACCACGGGACCGAAGATCTCCTCGGCAAAAGCCGGATTGCTTGGGCTAACCTCAGAAAGCACGGTGGGTTCGAAGAAGTGTCCCGTATCGGCAAGCTCACAGCGATCTCTTGGTGGTCTTTTTCCCCCCGTCAAAGCTCTGGCACCGGCCACGATGGCACGCTCCACTTGGCTTTCGATCCGCTCGAGCTGCTTTTTGGAGATCACCGGGCCGATCTCCGTTTCTGTCTTCAATGGGTCACCGAGTCGGAGCTGCTCTGCTTTTTGAACGAGTCGCTCCTTAAATTCCTCGAAGATTTCATTCTGAACGAGGATCCGCTTGCCGCTGACACACGTCTGCCCAGAAGCCACAAATGCAGCGAAAGCCACCCCATCCACAGCCTCTTGGACACTCCGCGTGTCCGAGAAGACGAGGATGGGTGCATTGCCGCCCAACTCGGCGCAATAGGCGCGGACGCGTCCTGCCTCGGCCATGGTGCGCTGGATGAGAAGCCCCGTCTCCGTGCCGCCCGTAAAGTCCACGCGCTCCACTCGCTCGTGCCGGGCCAGCGCCCCGCCAGCTTCTGGACCTCCAAGACACAGCGAGAGCAGGTCATCGCGTCAAGGGCACAAAAAATTTTGTCTGGGTCCCCCTTTTCGTTGCCCCCCCCTCGCTTGAAGTTTCCCCCTCGCCCTGACCCCATTTTCGTTTCGCTGGCCCCTCCGTTTTGTCTTTGGCCCACCCAAACTTTTAATTTACCTCACCCAAGTTTAACTACAACTACAAAACGGTGGGCGCATACGGCGCCCTGCTGCTCCGCTGCATTTCCTTGCCTTTTTTGTGCCTCCTGGATACTTCTGTGGGCTTTTACATACACGGCGATATGGTGTGCGGGTGTAAGGCCAGGGTGTTTGTTTTCAAGCTTTGCGCTTTAGATTGCGGCCTATACACCGTGCTCGTTTTCGCCCCGGCGACGTTCCGAGCTCGCGAAGCCTTTTTTGGAGGACTGGTAGTAGTAACGGACATTGGAGTAACAAGCGAAACTAGAGTAAGAGTCGTAACACGCGTAGTTATAACAGGAATAGCAACAGCGATGAACATGACAATAGCAGCCCTCTTGCGAATCAATTGCTGAGATTCTTGGTCCCCTGCCGCAGACCTGAGTTTGTTTACCAGCGCTCCGGACTTTGCAGATGATTCCGGGTCCTGTAGCTTTACGGGATTTGCCGCAACGTGCTGCAGCTTTGTACCCCGGCCGTCAACATCCACTTTTATGGACACTCACCGTGAGTCGCAACTGGTGCAGCTGGTTTTGTTTCAATGGGCATTTCGCCAGCCACTCTTTGGTGTGCCGAAAATTTTGGATGGCACTTTTATGTGCAACTTTATGCTTTATGGGCTACCTGAGCGTTCCGAACTCCACTTGGTTCTTTGCTTGCTGCAGACTTTACAGGGTGGTCCCTCATTTTGGAGGGCAAAGATCGCGCGCCGGGATCCGATGGGATCCTCAACTTTAATTTTTCCCCACGGTCTGCACTTTCGATGTTGTACATCAACATCATCAACTACCAGGACCTTCACATCATCATCTGCGACGGGCACAGCTTCCACGTCAACATAACCGGCGACCACAAAATCAACTCTCCACCGGCGGCATCCATCAATACCCTTCACCCCAAGATTCCTTTTTTACCACATGGTGTGTGACAGTTACCCTTATCACCACAGCCTCTACGACAGAATTCACATCTGTTACAACCGCATCCTGCACTTCCCGTCCTTTATGGCCATGTTGTTGACCGCACTTCTTGCGATCACCATCCACCATCAACAACCGCATCCTTTACACGCGTTCTACTGCGACAACATGTTCCAAGACAGCAACACTCTCTACAAAGTATTGCCTACGACGATCTCTACCTGCTCTGCAGTCTCTACGGAGATGCCCGCCGTGATCAGTTCCGCTTCGACGCAATCTTCGTTTATGACAATATGCACGATGCCCTCCTTTCTGGAAGCATCCTTTATACCAGCATCCTTACTGACGGCGTCCTGTACAGAACGTTTCCGCGCCACCAGATGTTCAATGATGACACCGTCTGTGACGTTATCCTCCGCGACTACATCATCCACTACAACCACATCGTCTACGTCCATATCGTGCTGGACGACTACATTGACTTGCACTGCCTCGAGCCTTTTCCTGCGAAAGCCGGAGGTCGTCGTGAGCGGCATCGAGATGTGGAGTGGTGGCCACATGCTTTGCATCAGGAAGGAAAAGAAGAGCCGGCACACTGGGTACCCGAGGAAAGGCTTAACCCCTAAACCGCTAAACCACTCTCCCCAACCCGGGTGGACTGAGAGGGAAGCCGAAAAATCTTGAGCGATCGCAGAAAGCTAATCTGCAGAATCTGCAGCACTCCCTCGCGCCTTTTCCTTCGGGCTAAACCCCTAAACCACTAAACCAGACCACTATCCACCATCAAGATGCTGCAGGCGTAGGGCCGACAAAAGAATAGAATCTTATCAGCTTCGACGAAAGCGACGCAGGGCAGCGATCTTATTTCGGCAAGCGACTGGAAAGGTTGCAAGATAAAGTGCATGGGCCGCCACTTCTTGAAGATAAAATTGAACGGAATGCCCAAACACGCAAGGATCGCATTCCATTGGTTCCGAGACGTGTTTGTCGAGCCAGGGCACAGCGCTCAGAAGCTGAACTTATGTCGCTATTACCAGGCCTACCGAGGTGCAGTCGAGGACTAGCAATGCACTGTTATTCAAGACGCGCTGGGCACCGAGTGTACATGAAGACATAGAAATTTCGCTGGGTCAACATCTAGATGCCGTCGTTGGAGCCTACATGCGCACTGGTTGTGATCAGTGAGACATGCAATGTCCTGTTCAGGGTGAAAGAGGAGTGCATTCTACGCAGCAACCACGATGAAGCCGCCCCCCCAGCGGAGCACCCTGCGCAGATCGATTGCTAAGGACGCGACACTGCGACACCGCCGTACAATGCAGGGTGTTTAAAATTGGTTTGCACAAAAAAAAACTGCCAGACACGTCAACACTGTAATTTCAGCATATGGGGGGGCGTTTGGGTGTTTTCCTAATCTGGGCGGCGGAAAGCGACGGGGCGCCGATCCAACGAGCAACAAGGCGACTGAATCCACTGGGAGCTCGAGCGAGGAGAGCTGGCGAGGAATCGGGGTGAAGGCTTAGGATTTAAGGGGTTCCAGGCACTGGGTTTAAGGAGCTTTGTTTCGAGGGTTCAGCGGCTCAGGGCCTGAGGGTGTTTAGGCTACAGGCACTTCGGACCCTTGTGTTGAGGATGGTGTGAAAGCCCCGGTTTATGGCCCAACTTATACGGAATCGCCGCTTCAAGTCTTCAGTGAGCCATTTGTAGCCGTTCTTTGTCTGACTCGAGAGGCTCTGGCGATCGCTTGACCGGTAGAGCCTTTCGCTCCCAAATCCAAGCACAAGCAAGCATAGTGCTCCAAGCCTTTTGGGTTTTTTCTACGTGCTCCTGAGTGACCTTCCGTGCAGTCCAGCGAGTGCTCTTGAGCGAACATGCGGATCGCAGGTCGAAATAGTTTACAAGAATCCCCAACCTTGCCCGCCACTTAAAGCCCAGCCTATAGGTACGCTGTGGGGGCCCTGTTTTTCCACATACGAGGTTTGCGATGTTTGGTGCATTGTCGCTTAAAGTTTCGCCTGTAGGTGCCAAACCCAGACCCGAGCCCTCTCGTCCGGAAGGCCACGATTGGCATCTGGCAGCGTTCCTTGACACTGGCTGCGACAACGACTTCACGGGTCTCTTTGAGTTGTCGGGGTTTCAGCCATGGTTTTCATAGAGTAAACAACTTTGTTTACTGGATCTACCTTGGTTGCACTGCTAAGCTCGTCAGCAAGTTTAATGCACTGCGGAGCTCGACGGTATGCTTCGGCTCGGAGATGTCGATGTGGGCTTCATGGAGTTGCATGGGTTTACGATTGAAACTTCGCAAAATACAAAACTGCGTTAAAGTCTGCCTGAAATGCACTGCGTAGCTCGACGGGATGCTTCGGCTCGGAGATGTCGATGTGCGGGGTTTGAATCTAGATTTCGTAAAATACAAAACTGCGTTAACAGTCTGCCCGAGCTGCACTGCGGAGCTCGACAGGATGCTTGGGCTTGGAGTTCGTCGACGTCGCTGCGGGCTTCGTGGATTTGTGCACAGTTTACAACCTAGGTTTCATAAAAACAAGATGTGTTGGCAGACTGCATCAACTGCAACTCGGGGCTGGATCTCGGGCTGCTTGGGCTCGGCTCTGTTCTTGATGGCCCGGCTCGCTGATGTCTTGGGCCTCCCGAAATTGCGCGAGGGTCAGGGGTTAGAAAAATGGTTACTCATGTGGGGCTGCCTCGGCTGCACTCAATGGCTCGCCGTCGATGTTCTGGGTGCCCTTGACCTGTGTGGGTAGGGGATTATATAACCTTGTAAGTTTCAACACTGAACCCCTCAGATGCTTAAAGCTTGCAGTTGACGTCTACATAGCAAACCTTAAATGCCAAACCTTCGAAGCTGAAAAATTTGAACCAGACCTTAAACCCTTTTTTCAAGAGCTAAACCTTAACAAAAAACCTTCTACAACACCCAAAGGATTGCAAAAAACAACCCTAAACTTGATCCGATCTGTCTTGCTGCAACCCGAAAAACCTGGAAACCTTAAACCCTGTGTCACGACAGCTAAACCTTAAAAGTTAAACCTGCAGCCACCAATCAACAAAACTTTCAAAACATTTTAACGCCAGTTTTGCCAAAACTAAACCCTAAAATTCAAACCCCAAACAACCGACAAAAACAGAAACTCGTGACCCGAGCCGTGTGTTTCCCTGCATCCCTGACGCCGAAAACAAGGTTTTCGCAACGGCCGACAGATCCGGATGTCGGGTCTGGCTATATTCGCCTTTTCGGTATTCTTTTCGATGACTCTGTCGAACTATTTGATGGCTCTTTCGGGCTACCTCGGGCTTTTTCCGCCTGTTGTGAAAGTAGCAGAAAAACTCACTCAACCCTCATCGGCTACTCATCGGGGCCCCGTGCCTTCACTTTAAACCTCATCCCCGCCTCATCGCAATGAGCGTGATGCGTAGAAAATTACGAGTCTTATCCCAAAAGACCTCATCGCAGCAAGTCGGGCTGCCCTCATCGCTAGCATTCCGGCCCTCATCGCTAGCTTATCGCATCCGGGCTTATTCATCCCTTATTCGTAGCTTTGATATCGTAGAGGAATCGTCGCTCGCTCATCGCAAATTCGGGGCCAGCGCTGATCGCACCCGTTTGGTTGCTTTTGACACCTCTTCGTGCTATTTCGAGCTGTTTTGGCCTCTTTGGGGTTTATTGCTAAATTGCAGGGGTTCGCGGGGTTTCGTTTGGTGGGCCAAGACTTTAGCTAGTTGTTTTTAAAGCCTTTTCGGACTATTTCAAGTTTTGTGGGAGTTGATTGCTTAATTTCAAGGTATCGGGCTGCTTTTGTTTGGTGCTGTAGCTGAAGCACGACCAGCAAGCCCCACAAACCAGGAAGACGACCGGATGCTGTGAGTGC